AAATAAAACAAGCATCCAAAACAATTCAAACAACAAATAGCGAACATCCGATGTTATCTAACGGACCGAAATATTCCTTTTCCTTTATTTTCCCTCTCTTTCTCTCGTAACATTTTTTTGAATTTCTTATATAAGAGACTTTTCTGACTTCCTTCTTACCTTTATTTAACGTTGGCGCATTCTTTATTGCTCATATTTGCTCTCACTTCAAAAATTACTCTTTATCACAGGTTGTAATAATAGTAAGGTGTAAATTTTGTTGGCACAATCAGTGCTCTATTAATTTGTAAATGAACGAAAAATTCCTTACCAGCTGTAGTAGCCACTTTGTGAGCAACATTCCCTGCACTTTTTACTGTTGTACGCGCAGCAGCACCTAAAAAAGGAGTAGCGAAGGCAATAGAAATTTATTTTTCTAGCTTTTGTAACTCTGAAATTCGGCTTCCTAGCTTCCTTACTTTCGTAGTCCAGAGACAGAGAAGAATATACGTAAATAGGTCTCGTCAAAATGCTTTTCTACTGCATGAATCAGAAAAGCATAATTATCAGTCTACTACTGCAATAGGAAAAGAAAAAAAAAATAAAGAATATTCTAGGAAATTACGAAAAAGCTGTTCCAGTAGACAAAGTATACTCGTTTCGGTCTAGAAGTGGCAATGTTCGAGAGAGTGACGCTCAGCACATATCAATGAATTCTTGAAACTGCCTTACTAGGCATTTTTATCCAAAGGACAGCTGAGCTAATAATCCCTTCAGAAAACGAAATAAATTTTAGGAACGCTCTCAAACTGACCACCAGGCCATGTAGCACGGTCAAAGAAATTGGAAAAGTTGACAACTTCGTAGTTGGGGAACCGGACTATCAACTGCGGATTAACGCTAGTATAACTGTTGCATATACAAAATAAAAACAGAAAAACATAAAAAAGGCTAGATAAAAACTGAGTTATCCAGGACCACTTAAGCCGAGGAGTTTTTGATGCTAATGCTTCCACATTACCTAGAATTTGATCATAATCGAAAACTCAGAACCTGTGGTATTGATCGTTTTGCGGGCGACATTCTTTGCACCTGCCACTGTAGCGCCCGCAGTTGTGCCTGCAATGTCACCGTATAAAAAAATAATTCATTTATCTTATCACCCTCTTGCTCCAGGTTCAGCCTGGCTGCACATCTATTGTGTATCTATCTTTCAAGGTAGGATACAATTTTCTTCTCTGCCCCCCATAAGTAGTTTTCATCGTTTTTTGTAGCGGCTTCTAGGTCGACTTTTCGCCGATTTTGTGCGACATGCTTTTGGTTGATAAAGCACTTCATTGTGGTGCAACAGTGGGGAAACGATTAGGATATCACGGTGATGCACAAAATATACAAATGAGAAGCTCGAGTTTTGCCAAGCGCTTTTGTTGTGACAAGCAAAATATCAATTGATAATCCGTTCAGGAAATAAACGGACGTCAGGACTGCCAGCAGGCTAACTACCAGGCAATAGTCATGGGAATGTTGCCAGCTGTACAGCTACAGTTGTTCAAAGCAAATGTCCGGGACAAAATTTTACCTTAGGAAATAAAAAGAAAGCCAATAAGCTCATCAAAGCGCTGCATCGAAGTAACGCTGCATCATCCTTGCTCTCGACCCTAGCATTAGCTAATTTTATTTCTAATTGAAAAATCTGTTACCTGCACTAGTGGCTACTTTGCGGGCGGCATTTTCTGCACCTTTTACTGTGGCACCTGCAGCTGTGCCTGAAAATGACCTCATAAAAGAGTTGAAATTGCCTTAGTTTCGAAATATGGGTAGAATGAAAGTAACCAACGAATTCACTGAAACACAAAAATAAAGCAATTCAGAAAAAATCTGTTTTAATGTCAATGTGAAATTCTTGATTTTACCTGATTTAGACACAAAACATTTTCTAGCACAAAACAGGTCCTACAATTCAATAATTAACAAAAACTCGGGACCCGTAGTAGTGGCCACTTTGTGAGCAATATTCCCTGCACCTTTCGCTGTGGTACCAGCAGCTGTACCTAAAAAAAATAGCATCACATGAAAAAATGTTGCGAAGTGTATAAGACAATAATAAATAGTAACGCGTATCAGGGCATCCATTGCATTCATGCATTCTATGTAGCTCCGTCCAGCGGAAGTTCTCTATTAAGAATGCTCACTGTTTTACACTTCGGTGGGCAAAAATAGTCAGTATGTTGTTTAGTTCCAAAGACGCGGAATTTACCAGCAGAAATTCTATCTGTTAGTACGTGAAAAGTGAGCGCACATGAAAGCTGAATTTGAAATCTTTGGACTGCAAATGGACAGAGGATATTCTTCCAAAATTTCAGCTTCCCAATTTTCTGACTTTCGAGTTAGTGGCTTTATTGCCAAAACTTTCAAGTGGCCATATACGATACATAGGCGTACATGTGAGCTAAATTTGAATTTTCGGGGCCACATGTGGGCAGGGATATCTTCTAAAAGCATTTCTTCTTGAGTCGAAAGTACTGAACAAAACGCAGCCAAAAAACGGACAGGAGCGTGACAATATGTGTATTGTGCTACTGTTCCAGCATGAAATACATAAAAAAGAACAAACACTAATGAAACAAATGAACAAAGCTAGATTGACTGGCAATGCAGATCTGTCATTTTGCCGGCTTAAAGCACTATAATATATATTCCCTAGGCTCTGTCATTTTAATCAC